GGAGGAGGAGGAGTACCTCTGAGCAGGTTTGTGAATAGGGTATCCCGAGCTTGCACACCATTAACATAGTGTCACTATGAACACCATCCCTTGAAAACTCTAGGGGAGCAGAAATGATGGGTAGGATGTGTATGTGCCTGGGTCTATAACACTATTCTAAACGCTGTGTTCTATTCTAAAAGCAACAGAATTGTTTACTTAATCTTTAATGTACTGTACTGCCTCATCTATACTACAGACTTACCACAATCAAGGTAGCACTTGCCCATGCCACCAAGTAAATGCTCCTCAGTGGTGAAGGTTACACCATGCAAATGCGCTCCCTCTTCCACCAAAAAAGTAGATTTAAGACTGAGGTCTGAGTAGGTGATAAAATAAATGGAATTTTTTCCCATTGCTTTTTATTATTTTTTTATTTTTTTATTTTTAAAAGATGACCGGTAAGGGGATCTCAACCCTTGGCTTGGTGTTGTCAGCACCACGCTCAGCCAGTGAGCAAACCGGCCATCCCTATATAGGATCCGAACCCGTGGCCTTGGTGTTATCAACACCGCACTCTACAGAGTGAGCCACGGGCCGGCCTTCCCATTGCTTTTTAAACATTTGCATTTTAATGGCTTTAGGCAAGGCATGCCCGCCAGTTCTCTACAGTCCTTACTATTCCCTAATAATTCTACTCCAAGCATCTGCTCTCATTTGTATTATCCACCTTGCCCCAAAGTCATTTGACTTTGTGATCCCTGCATGGGCTGAAAGAACAGGTAGAGGATTTAATGTCAGAAAAGCAAGTTCAAACCTAGGCCCTTCCTCTTCTTAGCCACGTAACACTGGGGATGTCACTGAACCCCAGAGACCTTGGCTTCTGTTGTTCTGAGGACTAACGAGCTACTGAATGTGGAAATGCTTGTTAACCGTGGAGCACCGTGTCAATGCAAGTGATTATGATGATGACGCAGGAGCCAACGACTGGAGCTTGGCCACGCGAATTCCAAACATTCCTTCCTCCCTTCCCTCTCTTCAACCAGTCACCTGCCAGCCTTTACAAAGAAAGAGAGAATCAATTGTATAACACTGGCCCTATTTCTTCCTTGAATCTTGTTTAGCTATAGTTTACCCAAGATTCCAGAAGTGAGAAGAGAAATTGATGTTACGTCAATGAGTCATCATTTACAGCCCAGTTCCTGAGCTGCCTCATAAAACAGTGAACTCCCTGGCACTGACAGTCAAGAAGAATAGAACCTTCAGA